GAATGTTGCCGGCGCATTACACAGTCCAAACGGCATCACTTTGAACTGCCAAAGTCCCTTGTCCCGTAGTAAATGCCGTCTTTTCTCTCGGTCATCAGGATGGATTTCTACCTGCCAATACCCACTCTTTAAATCAAGTGTTGAGAACCACTTGCTTCCAGAAAGAGTGTCTAGAATGTCATCAATTCTAGGAAGAGGGTAACTGTCTTTCTTCGTAACCTCATTCAACCGGCGATAGTCAACGCAAAATCTTGTTGAGCCGTCTTTCTTTCTGACGAGAACGATGGGAGATGCCCATGGACTCGCTGAAGGCTCGATGACATCGCCTTCTTCCATATCTTTTAACAGTGTTCGCACCTCTTCCTGTTTAGCAAACGGTAGACGTCTTGGATGTTGCTTGATCGGGGGATGATCGCCAGTATCTATTCTATGTTGTGTCAAACTAGTTCGACCCACGTCAGAAGACGAGCGGGAGAAAACAACTTGAAGATCTTTAATGACGCGATCGGCAGCATTTTTCTCTTTATCGTTTAATTGTGCATTCTGCAATAACTCCGATGTAATGCTCTCTGAGGACACGGATTCTGGGATGTTACTCTTTTTTCAACGCTGGTTACTGGAGTACATGTTGCAAACCACTTCACCTTTCTTAATAACTCTCGACTTTTCAGTTACATTGGCGACTCTCACCGGGATAACCGTTCTGGATAGGTCGACGAGTGTTGAGGCTACTAATACTCCTTTTGGGATATTACAGTTATTGGGATATTCTATGATGGCCGTAGCGGAAATTTCTATTTTCGGCTATGGATCCAGGAAGTAAAATTTCTGTTCTTGCCGGTATTGTAATATAGTCTTGTGCTATGATTTTATGGACAGATTTAACTTCTTCATCATTAACGAGAAATAACGCTATGTCCTCAGATGTAGAATGCAATTCGTTATTTTTAAAATCCAAGGAAAAATTGTATTTCCTTAGAAAGTCCAATCCGAGTATGCAAGAATCAGTGATCTCTGCTACATATGCCGTGTGATGGTAAGCGGCACTTCCAAACGTGATGTTAACATTTACTTTTCCGTCGATGTCGATCTTCTCACCGGACACAGTCTGGAGGGTAACGCAGGGCGGCGTCCAGATAAGTTTGTTTCCTAGTTGTTGAGCCAAATCTTTTGGATGATGGTGACGTTGGCTCCTGTATCTATAGTCATATTGCAACGGAACTCCATTAATATGTCCTATTATGAAAAGTCCATTACTGCCGCCTCTCACTGCAGAAATTCTGAAGCGATTTAAACTGGGGCTTTTCAGTATCTGGCAACCTCCGCCCCGCGAGATGGCCACTAATTAGTTTCCCTGCTGCTTGTTAGGAAGCGGTCTTAACATCCAGTGCCCTGGGGTGTTCTGCAGTTTCGTCGTATGTGTCCTTCAGCACCGCAGTTCCAGCATCTTACGGTCGGTTTCTTCTCACCAATATTCCGTCTCAAGGCATTTAAGTTGTCTAGTTAAATCGTCCAGATCGAGCGGTGACTTGATCCCCTGGATCCTGGATTTGAGCAGCTCTGACTGGGTGGCGGTCTCGACGAGTGGCTTGCTGGGCTGCCTCGAATTTCATGGCGTACACTAGAGCACTTTTTAAATCTTTTACATCCGCCATTCGTAGAGCTTTCTGTATTTCAGTATCTTGGATGCCGTCGATAAAGTATTGCAAGGACAGGATTTCCCTTGTTTCTGTCGGGCATTCCGAAAAGGCGAGATGGGACAGCCTTTCAACATCCGCGGCGAGCTCCTGAAGTGTTTCGGTAGGCTTCTGTTGACGAGATTTTAATTGGAGCCTGCTGTAGTCTTTTAAACACTTCTCACCAAAGCGCAGCTCCAATGCCCCAGATAGAGCTTCAAAGTCTAGTCTCTGGTTTTCGGGAAGAGTCTGCAGGATATCCGCTGCATCTGCTCTCAGAGAAGCGACGAGATGACAGGCCTTAGCTTGGGAATCCCATCCATTCGCATCCGCCACGATAGAAAATTGTGTCTTATACACCTGCCAGGAGGTCTTCCCATCATATGTGGATAGCTTCAGAGGTGGACGAGCAGGCATTGGTAAGAATTTAAAATCATCACTCCTGCTCCCTGCCGACGCTATGAATTTCTTTAAAGTATCCATTTCTTTGGCAACTGCAGAAACTCTCTCGTCAATTTGTTCTTTACAGAAGAAAACTCTTCTCTATTTCTTCTTCAAAAGAAAAACTCTTTCTTCAATATGTCCAACTTATTTTCAACTGCGTCAATTCTGCCTTCCATAGCTTCAAATTTATTTTCTATTATGCAAGTAATTTCTCTTTTCATTTCTTCCTTGACCACCTTGAAAATGGCTTTCCATTTGACTGTTCCTTACGGATTCCCTGGCTTTAACAGAATCCTCATTTTTTCCTTACCAGTAACCATCTTTGGCCCAATTTCACTTCTTCCTTAAATGATGCTTGCCCAGCTTTCCATCTTTTCTTGGAATGCAGCAAAAGCACTAATGAGCTGTCTGAATTTGTTCTTCCATCGCTCTTGTTATTGGCATTCAAAATCCCACTTCCTGACACCAAAAATTGTTGCGTGCGTACGGGTTCGTTATGAAATGAATGCCCAAGTCCGATGAAAAATGAACAAAAATTTAATTATTATCACAACAAAAATGCTTAAATTTTCTCAAATTATCATGCAGTTATTACAATATCTCACAGTAGTTTTCTTTTAACTACTCAAATGTCCAATAGAACGTAATTCAAAACAGCTAAAGAACGCTAATCCTGCGAATTCGCTACAATCAACAACAGTAGTTTTCTAAACAACAACAAACTAAGCAACTACTACAAACTGAGATGTTTTCCTCCTTTTATAAGATTTTAAAATCACGCGCTAGAATTTTCCAGTACTTTCTCGAAATAAAAAGAGATATTTATTTATTTAATGCACGCGCTCTTGTATTTTCAATTTTCCGGCTTAGCTTTCTTTTAATATTCGTCACGCGCTGCACTGCGCGAGAAATAAAACCATTTAATTTCTAATTGAACTAACATTAGCTTTTTAAATACCAAATTCGTAACAGTATATAAGAAAGAGGAGTTAAGAAATGTTGCGTATGAACATTTCACTGGGAATTATAATTTTGTAGACTTGAAACTGGATGCCATACCTAAACTGTGGAACAATTGTAGGGCAGTGCTAAATGCAGAAATAAATGTCAGCGGGGTACTGCTGGCCATCATTTAGAGTCATATTTGATAGAATTTATTTGGTGTCAGTTATATTTAAAAACTGAAATTTTTTCTATAATATTGAAAGATGATTGTAATATTATACAGCCTGTTTAGATTGAACTCCCCCCCCCTTTTTTTTTTTTTGTTATTCTTTATTTATGTGTAGAATATTCTTTATGCCACCTGTTTAGATTAAATTTTGTTTTGTTATTTTTTTTTTATGTCTAGAATATTCTAGATTAAAAAATTAAAAAGAAAAATTAATTTTCTTTAAGAATTATGAGATTGAACAAAAAATTTACTTTTTACAAAAATAATTTTTTTTAGTCTTTTGAACTCTATTATTATTCATAATTTTTTTGGTGGCAAAACTAAGTGGTGCATTTTTAACTGACGCCGCTGTAACAGAATAGTACCCTATGATTTAATTCATTAAAATCGATGGAGGAAAGGTAATGGCCAGGGGTTCATTTTGCACTCTCGGATCTTCTAAGTAAAATTTTGCGAGCGAACACAAGTGGATCTTTTATCTGTTGTTCCTGCACCTAAGGTTTAATGCACCTGTGTTTTTATACAGTCACTGCAAAATTTCTCAATTTGACTTGTAAAGGTATAGCAACCTTAACTGATAAGTTTCCAAGATGTCAGTAGTATTCAATATTTATTGCTCGTTTAAATGAAACAATTATTACAGTTGCATTATGTAGTTTTTAATTTGCCATACACCTCCTAAGCACTCATAAGGGCCCTTGGGGGTCCATTGGAATCATTGCTCCAGAGAAAACATCATTCTTCTTCCTTGGCCACCCTATATGCGAGATCTTACATGATGTGATTTCTTTCCTTGGAAACTTATTAAAGACATTATATATATAATATATGTATATATATAAAGAGAGAGACTTCATGCATTATACTCCAAGCCATTATAGCAGACATTATAAATCAAGTTTGGGAGGAATTTGATTACCATGTTAATGTATATGACCCAGAGTGTATGCATTGAAGGATTGTAATCAATGCATGAGAAACTTAGACAGTTACTTTAGCTGATGGTATAAGATGAGAATTAAATTTTAAAACAATACTTTTCTTTTGTATATGTCCTGTATATTTTCGATATGTTCATTAAATAAGCTGTATATATCTGTCTTACATGTTCCAACTGTATTGATTACTATGCAATGTATTGATTATTGTAACGATGTATTCCAAATGGATTGATTACTATGCAATGTAATTTTTGTAATACGCTACTGAAAATGAAACACTTCCAGCATAAACCTATAAATTTAGAACTGATTAAATATTACTTCATATGTTGCCTGTGTATCATTAACACATCTTCACTTTTGCTAGTATTTAGTAATGAAGATGATTCCTGAAACCCAAAATATTTTGTTTAAGTCAAAATATGTATCTGTTTTTTAAATTGCAAAAAAAATAATAGGCTTCTTTCAGAAGGTATTTTTATATATTAGCTTTCTTAGCCTAATCTGATTTAGAAAAATGTCTGACTTTGAAAATATATTATTTTTCTTTGAAAGTGTGAAAATTTATTTTACTTTTAAATGTGTTCTATTGAAAGCAATTTAAGGCTGTTTTTATTTTGATGTATAAACATGAGAGAGTCCAAATTGTCAAAAATAAAAAATCAGTTTAGAATTCATGTTCAAAAGATAAATTGTTATAGCGTATCATTTCATCATATTATTATATGTGTATGTTTCTCAATAATTGTAATTTGAATTTTTTAGAAAAAAGAAGAAGTCACCTTCAAAGAAGAAAGAATGGAGAAGATACATCTGTATCACGGTTTGGAGAATTATCGATAAAGAATGAACCTGATGATGTTAATGGTAATTGTTTCTTAGATTTTACATAGTCTTAGTTTATAAATGCAAACTAAACAAAATTCAGAATTTATTCATGATATGAAAAATTTATATATTATGGATAAGATTGACATTTCATCAAGGTAAGATTTAAAATAGTCCTTAGCGGTAGATGCATAGAACTTTTCTGTGATATTTGAACTTGGAGGAAGACTGATAATATTAAAGACAGTTAATTCTAAGCACTAACTTATAAAGTATTATCTGAAAATTATTTTAGAATCTTTGAAAATCTGAAAAATATTCTGATACACAATCGAGGAAACCTGCACTAATTTTAGGCTTCATTAACTAATACGTGAATTTCCTTATTATGGTTACTGGAGCTTTTTTATCTGTTTAGTCTATTTGATTGAAGTCAAAATGTGTTAAATTTGTTAAACATGCACCCAACTTTTCCAGTAGATCATTGAACCTCTTGGTTTTTAATTTTTAGCCTTTACTAAGGAATGTTTTTTCAGCAGTAGATTAAATTTATTAAATTAATGATGGCATAAGTTTGTAAATGTTATTCCTCCTCCCAAAGTGACTTTTTCCTATTATTTCTAACCTGTCCTAATCTGTTGTAAATATTTGTGGAATATTATATGAAGATTCAACCAATGATTAGCCAGTAAATCTTTGTATTTAATTTAGTTTTACATCAGTATATGGTACATTACTAAGGTTATATGCACAGTAAATATGTACATAAATTATTTATTTTATTCTTATCATATTTAAAATTACATTGATAAATGAAAGCTCTTCTTATTTCCTTAGGATTTTCTTAGTGTAAAAGTAAGTAAATTACAAAATGAAACCAACCAAAGGACAAAAAATTTAGAATATTGAATTAACTACAAATATGTATTTTATATAAGGACTGTATAAGTAGTTAAATGATCTAACTCATTCAGTATAAAAGAAGTAAAGTTAATCTGGAGGTCTTTTGAAATGGTGCTGTTATGCAGACTTGAAATTCCCAACTCTGGGCACAAAAACCTTCTGTTTTTTCATATTTCAAGGTTGACAGCTATGATTATAGATGCAGATAAAAGGGAAGTCTGAGAGAATCTCTTATCTTTGAAATAAGACAGGAATCACAGTAAAAAGTAAATTTCTCAAAACCTTACCAGAAATGCATATTGCATGTGCTTTCATTGAGTTCTCGTGGTGCAGAGAAAATTAGGCATGTGAATGAGTCAGCTCCATGAGTCTTCCATAGTTCTTATGAATTGAATTTTCAGGGAAAAAAAAATATCCTGCACTGTGGATTCTTATTGCTGTATTTTTAGTGTTGAAGAATCATAAGAAGTGGGTGATATTTGCCAGCATGTTTCCACGAGCATCCGTGGCATGTTTCCACATGCATTTGCCAGCAATGCAACATTATACCTCTGCACACTTATGATACTGCCAGTTCCATTGGACTCCTTTTCAAGATTGTTAATAGGGTTTATTTATTGCTTCTCCCCCCCCCATGTTATGTGCAGACTAAGCCTAAAAGCATTTTCAAGCAGTGCAGATGTTGACCACTGTTTCTGTGACCCAATGCAGTATTTTCAGTACCAGATTAACGAGTTGTTCCATAGACAGTGGCCTTAGGCAGTGATCTGAAAGTGATGCATCACATGTTTCTTCCAGTCCCCCAAAGCAATTTTATATGTGAAATTATTTTATCTGTGAAAGTATTTCAGTTATGTATTTCTTTTAATACCAGACATAAAGCTTTAGAGCCGTGGCGATATGGACTGAGTTTATGTTCACGACTGCTGTTTAAGGAAAGAAAGATGTAATAAATAGTTTGAGTCTTCCGAAATCTGAATAGTTTGATGCTCTATGCTTTATGCTTTTATGCCAAACCATGTAACTGGAATAAGGTGGGAGAACTTCCTACATCAATATAATTAGTTAGTTTGCTAGTCGATAGCTTAGGATGCTTCAATATTTTGGTATTTCTAGTTTTTCCTATTGAATCAGTATTTCTGATACTACTAGTGGCAAATTGTATACTTTGTGGTGGAGTACACAGTGGTATATGTTTTCTTTGTAATAAGGAAATATCAGCTTCAAAATAATGATTTACATTGACATTATAAAATAAATAAGAAAGAAAAATTTTAAATATTGAAAGCCACATTCAGAGAAGAGCTTCAGTTTCTAAAATCTGGCTTACAATTTAAAAGGGGAAAAAAAAAAAAAAAAAACATTCTGAAGCAGATCAGCCCAGTGAAGTAACATTTCATGCAAGATAAGCTGCCTTCCATTCTTTTTTTAAAACCAAAACAAATATTTTGATTTTTTTTATCCTCATTTGCCAGTTCAGTAATCTTTAAACAGTGTTTGCTGTTAAAGACCATGCAAATTCTCTGGAGGTTTTGAAATTCAACTTCTTTTAACTCTGAATACCATTTTTAAATTTTGTTAAAGAATTTTTGAATATTATGAGAACTACAGAACTAGACACCTAAAGTAATTAAATACTATTTTTTCCACTCTATTGTTATTGTTACCTAGAATGATATAATGCAGATTTCTTCTCATCAATAAAAATATAATGAAATTATGATTTTCTTTTCATTTTCTGCATAAAGTGCACCAATATTGGTATATTTTCTATGCATTCTTAACATTTATTTTCCTGAGAATGGTAAGGATTCTAAAATAAGGAATAAAAAAGGAAGGATGTCCTAAAATTCACAGATTTTAATGATCAATACTATAGTTTATTACATAAAAATTTTCCTTAGTTGTGTCTAACAGTTATTACATGCATCATTTTCAGATTCACATTCTGCAACAGCAAGCATGTCGGTTGAGGATTCAAGTTCTAGTTCTGAGTAATAAATACAGATGTGTACATATATATTTGTATGCAATGGTGAGAAATGGATCTCTGTGATATTAGTTAAGAATAAAGTTTATTTCATGTGTATATATGTATCTCTGCAAGGGTATGATATTTTATATTTTAATGTGATATACTGTTTAACTGCCCTGCAACATACTGTGCAATTCCATTCATTTCTTGGCTTCTATTACTGAAAGTATATACAGTACTATGTTTTAAAATTAAATTTGAGTCACTTTTATCTTTTCATATGCACTTACTAAGTAAAACTGAAGATGATCATGTATTAAAATTTTACATGTATGCACTGCTAATGAAGATCTAAACTGAGATCAAAACTTACTACAAATGTAAGCTATTTTCGTGCGAAAGGAATGAGAATTTTTACTTCTTTTGAAGTGATTATAATTTTATATATAATTAATGCATTTAATCAAATTTAAATTTTATTGAAAAAATAGCAAACAATAGAGAGTTGTTTGCTATTTTTTCAATAATTAGTCTATCCAGTTCAGTTACAGTAGTTTTTTTCTCAAATATTAAGTTTCCAGCAGACAAATTAACTGTATTGAAAGTATTTGAAATAGCTCAATTGCTGTTAAAGATATGATTCTAATTGCTAAATAAATTTAAATTTATTTTTTCTGTAAGAAAGTAACCAGGGATACAAGTTTAAAAAAAATACTTGTTGGTTCTTGGATAAATTTTAAAAGCCGATGTATACTGACTTTAATTAATTAGTTTATCAGCAAAAGCTCTTAAATATTTTGAGACCAATTGTTATTTCAAGATATGCTGAAGTTTTTATTAAAAATTTATGAACATGACTTTTAACAGAAATTTTGGGACATAGACTTCATTTAAAATCATGCCAAAAGTCATCATACTGTTAGACTGTTGGTGAAATGTTACTAAGTTTGTGGATATATTTCTAAATCTAGTCTTTTATATATAGGATATGCTGCATTTAACATAATTCTTTTGTAATACAATTTTAAATAATATTTGAATCATATTTACGTATTTCTTTGGACAAATGATTGCTTGTTTTGTTATTAAAATAAATAGATCCTTATCTGTAGAAATAATCGCCAAAAGTTGTTAATCTTTTGTAAATATTAATATATTTGTAAAATATTTGCATTTTTTTCATTATAGTAGTGTCTTTGTATTTAAATTATAGACCCACTTAAGTTATAGCATAAAAATTAATTTAAAGTTAATAATATAAAAATAAGGAAGCCAAATTATACTTTTTAGAAATAATTATTAATTTTTAATAATTTTTTCCTGTTTAGGTTTATAGCAAAAAGAAAATTAATTCTAAATGTTTCATTTATTCTCAAGGTTATAAATTTATTTAATTAATACAGTAACTGTGTATCTTAAATTATTAAATAGCTATTATTATTACAAATTATCATACTTCATTATTTCTAACACTGTGTAGAAGAAATTTTAAAGGTCTGTTGCATATTTCATAATTATGTAAAACAGATATGAATAAGCTACACTTAAATTTGGCTTTATTGTTAGAACAAATGCCTTATTGACTTTGAATACCGTTTTTAAACTCAGCAGTGGATGTTTTGTGACTGGTTCATTTATATGGAAATAACATCATTTATATAGAAATATATCTGTTACTTAGGAAACTAGTTTTAAAAATTAAAACAAGTTTATTTTTTAAAAAAGTCAATTTAATTTAACATTTTGAATCTAATTCTTAAGTAGCAAAGTAAAATATTTGCCGAGTACCCTATATTCTCAGTTGTCCTTGTAGGATTGCAAACATTAATCCAAAAATATCTTGTGTAGTCAAAGCTTCAATTGTGCTAGAGTCCGGGTCTGGTACTTCTCAGTTTTTAAGGTAAATTGTGATTCTAACATGATTAAGTGCATGGTCCTTCTGTTATGTAAATGAACCACAATTTTAGCAAGAGGGAAAAAATATCACTTGTATATATTACATTTATTCTGACATTGTTCAGGGAAATTTCTTCCCATCACATTCTTCTTGACAGATATCACAATTAAAAAAAAAAAAAAAAAAAGTTGGACTTTATTTTCAAAGAATGGTTTTTCTTTCTATCATCTCTTAAAATAGTACATTATACGATGTACTCAAAGCCTAAATTCAGCTGGATACTGGCTGAGCAGTTTCTTAGTTTTGGAATAAAATTGTAGTTAAAGCACCAAAGAAGATGAGGTCTGATATTTATGTGACTATTTATCATTAATTTAATAACTATTAATTAAAAATTAATTTTGTATTTATCTGTTTACATTTTATTGAATTTATATCTCATTATTTTAATTATTAGTTATTTTATTTATTTATATTTTCCTCCTTCGTGTTGCTCCTTTCCGTAGGGCTCCAGCATTTCTGATTTTCAAAATTAAGCTCTGTATGCACTACAAAGAAGAAATTCTTTAGAGATTATAAAGGAATAATATTTAGCTGTTAAGGTAAATTTTAATAAAAGTAGTAATAGGATGTGGATAGAGTTTTCAGTTTTCTTCTTGAAATTTATATTGGATTCTCAGTTCTAAATTTCAGTGTCTCATCATAGCTGCTTACTTTTTCCTCATCTTCACATTTCTTGTAGTGTATCCATCTCGTCTGTATTATCTTCATACAAAATTTCGAAACCTGAGCATCAGAAATAATTTCAAATAAGACTTAATTCTGTCACTTCTGTATCAGCAGCTACAGTAGAAGTCTTATGATCTCATAAATTTGTGACTTCAGTAATGCTGAATTAATCAAATATGCCAGATTGTTGGACTTGTCAAAGTAAAGCAGCAAAAGCAATTTTGAAAATTATTGTTACTATATGAAGAATTTTCAGAGTTCCAGTATGACTTCCACTACTTGTCAGTTATTTAACTTTGTAAATTTCACAAATGAATTAATTTTTCTTAATTCATTCAGAAAATTTCATCTTCAGAAAGGCTATTGTGAGACTATTTCAGAGAAACACTATTGAATTTGATTTCTCACACTTTCTAGACTTTTCTAGGCATTCAGTGAAGAGTATCCAAATATTATCTGAAAGTTTAAATTTCAGCACTGCAATTAATTTATAATGCATTCGATTTAAGTGCAATTTTTTTTTGGTGGTGAGGGGGGTTAAAACCACATTAGCTTTAACCCTTACTAATGAAACCTAAATGAAAATTAAATGGAGAATATGTGTTATTAATTGGTCAGAAAATATAATTAGGCCAGCTCATTTAAAAATATGTCTGAGTGAATTCAGTAGAGTCTTGCTTCATTTTGAATATTTATTCAAATTCATTATTATTTTATGTTATATTTATTCTTATTTTATGTATGTATTTTAAAGGGATTCCAGAGTTAATTTTATTACATGCATATGATATATGTGTATATATATATGTATACATGTATTTTGTGCAATTGGTGTGCTAAAATAAATTATTTTAGAAAATGTTGTGAATTGCTGTGTATTCTACTTCTTTAGTTAATATATATATATATATTGCTGTTTATTACATTTGTCATCAAATTCTTATATAGTAACAGAATTTCTTATAATAGCAAGAGATTCGTTGTTAGTAACAAACTCAATATTCCCCCTGATAAAGTATTGTTTTATTGATTTTGGGAAAAATTTCTTTTTTACTGAAAACAAATGTGGTTTTCTTAAATTTTAGATTCTGCTGGGGAATAAAAATTTGTTCTGTAAGTGTTTAATACCTCAGATAAGGACTTTGTAAGGTTTATCCTAAGCTTTTTAAATCATCCTTAGTTAAAGCGACTTTCCTGTCTTCCTAATTTCAGCTTACAATTTCCTACCAGAATGTGTGTTTAGAATTGCTGTTAATGTAAATGAATAAGAGCGGTATTTAAGTCAAAGTTCCACTGACTTCATTAGAGAGCGAGAGTTTCTGACTAGCGCGCTTTCACCTTTTGGCTACGTCTCTCTATAAGCTATTACTATGCTTGGCCGTATTTCAGGCCCTTGGTAGCGTGCTAGCTTATTCAATATTTAAGGGCCAACTACTTAGAATCTAGATAGCTTTGGCTATAGCTTTTTAATTAAGCATTAGTTAAGTTTTATTTCTTATTACTTTGAGTTCAAGCCCAAGTGGAGGATTTGCTGTATGCTCTGAGAAAGGAACTCAGAGAGGATTTTTATTTTGAATAATAAAGGGTACTTAACCCTTCTTGAGTTTTATATCTCTGTTCCTGAACTCGAGAGATTATTCGCTTATCTGTTCACGAGGTTCCTACACATTTAACTGTTAGATAAAAGAGTGAAACCCCACAACTTCAATAAAAGTCATACCTAGTCTTACCAATTCATAAAATAAAATCTTACTGCAAAATAAGATTAGTGCTTGACATGAAAAAAAGAACTTTAATTTTGAAAACTCGGATATTAGTTTCTTCATTTTTTTTTTAAATGCAAAATAGCATAAGTAAGAAATCTTAAAAATTACATTACTATTCAAATAAAGGAAACAAATACTTTGTTGCAGAAACTTTAACCATTTGTTGTTAATTTTTATTATTCTTATCTAATCAACTAATTTCTTACAAAACCAGTTCACTTCTTTTCCAAAATCAAATTGACAGAAACTAAGTATTTACGGATTTTAAACTTCCCTTTTTAACTCCATGACATAAAAATGAGGCTATTTCAGATATATATTCATGTACATTCCAAAAAAAAGTCTCGGATTACAAAAATTTAATATCTTAAATTTGGTTTAAACACTGTTATTAGAGTATACAAATCTATAAATCTATACATTCTGAAGGAACCGTGCATAAATATTCATATTCAGAATTGCAAGATTTTTCAATAAGCATCAACATATATAATTCTGGATCTAATATTTGACTGACTTATTTATTTATTTTTTCATTTATTTGCACATAGAATTCTTTCCTCTTCCACCTCTCTTTTCAACCAGTCTATCCTTTTTATAATTTCTAGTTATTTTCTGATGTGGTCCATCAGAATAAATCAAGCCATAAAGGATTCTATAGAAAAGCCAAGATTAAATAGCTTTGAAGACTTCCAATCTATAAATAGCTAAATAGTCAACACTGCAGGCACTGACTGATGCTTTGATTTTGCAGTAGCATGTCAAACATATTGACAATATGAGATCTAATGGTTAAGTTCCTATGGATTTTAATTTTAAAAAGTCCTTAAAAAGATTTTGTTACATTTCTGCAACTGAATATAAGAATTGCAAACTGTTTTTGTTAATTTTTTTTCTTCTTCGCACTCTCCTTAAAAAGTGCTGATATTATGCTCACTGAATTGAATTGATCAAATACACTGAAAAATTCTTTTTAATAACACTCTCCTAAGCACTTGAAATTATCACATCTAATCAAAATTATGTCCTCATGATTGAAAATAGACCTAGGATGGGTAAAATTGGTACATCTGGAACTTATTTCTTTCATGGATCACTAGATCTCCTTATTCAACAAAGAAAAAAGATTTTAAAGGAAGCTCAATGTGTTTCATTTACACATTGAGCTATCTTTAAAACAATAATTAATTAACAAATTATGCACTTTAAGCAATGCTACTCATCGACAATTTACCTTCATTTTAAATAATAAAAAGGATAGAAATATGCTTTTTCTTAAACATGTATGTACTTAATGCTTAAGAGAAAAATAATATACATTTCAAACTGATCTTAAAAATAGAGGATACGCTTGTGTTCAAATTTAACTTAAGAAACTAGCAGTAGTAACAAAATAAGTAAATTTTGGTAGTTATGCTTGAGTTTTCTGGTATTTAATTATCATTATATAGAGACAAATTTAAAAAAATTACATTTAATTATGTAAACCTGCAAGAGGCTTATCCACAAAACCCTAAATTTCAAAAAAGGCTATGAGTAAATGATACTTTTTTGATTATGCAAACTGGATCCATTTCTTTCAGTTACATGTACAATTTTAAGTATCTGGACACATTTCAAGATACATTTATATGTATGTAAAAGCCACAACAACTGAGCCACTTGAAAGGTTAATGCTTCTAAACTCATATATGTTGCAAATTCAACATAGAAAACGTAGAACTGGTGTAAGAAATATCAATCATTTTAACTGGTGTAAGAAATATCAATCATTTTAACTGGTGTAAGAAATATCAATTTTTATATCAATCATTCATTTAAGATTAACAAAATTAAGAAATCTTTCTATCAGACTG